ATGATATTGTTTATCACCTCTACTAATTAGCATGATGTAAATTTCCATGCTTCCTCCTCAAATATAATACACTTTTTAGAAATTTGTTGCTTTTTGTGTGTGTGTGTATCACACAGAAGACCCCAAACCATCTCATTCAACTATACACTCACTTCCCAGATAGCACCCTCCCATAGCCTCGGTCCCCCCCCTAGAGCCATTATACTCTGATATCCCTGCTACAGCCTGCTGTGTTGTTGGCACCCCAAGCCATTCCCCACTACTTGCCCTTCTGGTGAATCTAGTCAGCCTATCTAGAGGTCTTTGTTTTAGGAGGATCAGCTGTTCCTCATCTAATCTTAAAAGCTAATAAGATATGGAGAATTAAGAATTGAACTCACATATAACTAAAGTCATGTAATTTCTTTTATCATAAATATTTATTTAGTATGCTATTTAAAATGGCAAAAAGTAGCAAACCTATTTAATTAATTGCTAATATTAATTAGAATTGTGATTTGTTTTCATTTAAACTGTAAATTATGTTTTTGTGGGAAAAGATATTTCTTGGTATCTGTTTTCCTCTTTTTTGTAAATATTTTATTGAAATTTTGTATATTTCATACAGAATATGTTAATCATTTTTTATACTCCATTCCCCATTGGCACCCTTCCAGAGCATCCTGTGCTGGATAGCTTTAGTGTCAACTTGACACACCAGGGTTGAGGGAACCTCAATCAGGGAATTGCCTCTATTGGACTGGCCTGTGGCCATGTCTGAAGGGCATCTTCTTGATGAGTGATGTGGGAAGGCCCAGCCCACTGTGGGTGGTGCCACCCCTGGGCAGGTGAGCCTGTGTTGCATAAGAAAGCAGGCTGAGCACGGGCCAGAGTAGCAAGCCAGTAAGCAGTGTTCCTTCGTGGCCTGTGCTCCAGCTCCTGCTTCCAGGTTCCTGCCCTGAGTTCCTACCTTGGGCTCCCCGATGAACTGTGACCTGGGAGTTGTAAGCTGAATAAATTCTTTCCTCCCCAAGTTGGTATTGGTCAGAGTCTTTTGTCACAGCAATGAAGAACAAACTAGGACACCCCTCAACTGGATTTCTTGCATTCTGTTATTTGTGATAAGGCCTATCTAGTCAAGTTAGTGTCCCTCAGTGCAAGTTCATCCAGTGAGGCCTAGTCAGTTTATCTATAGTCACTCTCTTTAAGATCAGCTCTTCTTCACCCAGCATTAATTAGCTACCGGTAGTTCTTCCGTTAAGATTGGAGCCTGCTGCCTGTTTTCACAGTACTATGCTGGGTTTTTGTCTTTCAGTTTGCATGGGTCTTATACATGCAGACACCATTTTTCATATGAGCAAGGTCACAGGAGGCTGTGGGATTCTAGTTCCATATAGTTGTGGACCTCCTCCCCGGCTCTTAAAATCTTTCTTCCCTTTCTTCCACAATGGTGCCTGAGTCCTGGGTGAGTGGAGTTTAATATTGGAGTCCTGTCCAAGGACAAACACTTTACAGACTCTTACTCTCCATGTTTTGGCCATTTATGTCCTTTCATATTCATAACCTTCTGTTGCGTGAAGACGCTTCATTGATGAGCCTTGAGAGTTTCATTAGCATTTTCTTTACCCCTTGTTCCACTACGTTCTATGAGCTTTAGATGTAGAGGTTGCTTTTTAAATGTGTCAGTTAGGGTTGGCCAATTCACAGGCCATCTCTGTATGCAACCATTTGTGGAACTCTGTAATAATCCCATTGAAAGAAGATTCTTTGATGAGTGGTGACTAAGATACTTGTCTGTAAATATAATGATCCATATTTTGCACATAGCAAGAAATTACATTTGTCTAGGGGTGTAACAGTTTTGTGTACTTTTCATATAATACATCTTAAGCAGTTTATATTCCTTCTTCCTTGCCCCTCTATCGCCCCCTCCCCTAGGAGATTTCAGGTATTCTGTAATAAATATTATGTCCTATCTGGTCAAGCATTTGTATCCAGAAGTCCTTCAGTGGAATTGTAACTTCATCCACTGGAGTTTAGTCAGCCTATCTAGAGTCATTCCGTTAAAGAAGATCCACTCCTCACCCCTCAGTAATCATTTGATAGTAATTCCTTGGCTGTGGTTGGAACCTGCTGCCCATTACCCTTCTATTCTAAGTTTTTGTTTGAGTTCCCATGGCTCTTGTACATGCTATCACTAAAGTTTATGAGCAAGTTCCCAGACACCTGAAAGCCTTGGTTTCTTTATGTTTATGGACCTACCCTGGCTCTTATGATTTTGATATTTACACCCCCTCTTAGCAATGGTCCCTGAGCCATGCCTGGGTGTGTTTTAGTATAGGACTCCTATCCATGGACTCTAGTTTCTCTTGTTCTCTAAATTTCAGGCTGTTGTGTCCTTCTGTGTGCATTGCACTATGTTGCATGAGGAAGCTTTGCTGTTGAGAGTTGAAGGATATATTAGTATTCTCTGTACCCCTGTTCAGCTATGTTCCATTAGCCATAGCTGTAGAGATTTCACTATACATGTGTCACTTAGGGCTGAGCATTTCTCAGACATAAGTTCTCTTTGTAAGCAGTTGTAGAACCCTGTAATAGCCTCTGTCTGTTCCAGAAGCTTCTTTGATGAGTGGTATAAGGTATAATTGCATGTAAATATAAGAATCCATATTTAGCAACAGTAAGAAATTTCATTGGATTTAAGACCTCTCCAGTTATATGTATTTGACTATACTTCCAGTGCCACCGATGAGTTCCTTTCAATTGAGAGAGCTTTAGGTTCAATTAGATAGCTGTTGATTACCCCCTAGATAAAAGTACCACTAGTAGTTTGCTGTGCCCATTGTGTTTACTAGACTTTACAGCTGGGTGGTTCTTTGATTAATTTTCTCCCCCAGTAGCTTGCATACTATCCTCTAGAACTCTGAACCCTTCAGGGAGAAGGCTTTCAGGTCAGTTCAAGTCCCTTTGCTCCAAGTCCTGTGGCCAAAGTATGGCCTGTCTTCAACAATAGGGTCTGACCTTCAAGTTCTGGGAGGTAATCAAAGGCTCTGGCAATAGCCCTTATTATTTTGGGAGTCTCTTGGACTACCCCGACCAACAATACAAAGGGAGATTTCTCCTGCCTGGCTGGTGGTTATTTTATGTAGCATTCAGGCATACACATACGCTCATGTACTGATAGTCTAAATGTATTTTTCAGGACGTTTTTAAGTTAATACATTTCCCCCTGGCTTTTTTATGTCACCTAAGCTTTATATATCTCTCCTCTCTCTCTCTCTCCCTGTTCAACCTCTCTCTTCTCTCCCCAGTTTAAGTACCTCCATTTCCTTCTTCATAATATCTGTCTCCTATTATCTCCCCTCTCTTGAATTAATTATTCTCCTTTACCCCCATGATTATAGTTCTGATTCACAAGAATGGACTTCATACCTCACTTGATAGTCAGGTTTGGGCTCAAATCCACACATGGTCCTTGGCACCCAAGGGTGTGACATTGGAACTTTCCCATTACCAAGTGCCAAGTGTTTTTCCATTATTTTTTCTATTACTTTTCTACAGACCAAGTGCAACTTCATCTGCACCCTACAGAAAATGTAAATCATCCAATTCAACATCCAGAGATCAAAGTCACAGTCCTGGAAGTTTAAAAGTCCACCAAAAACAAAAACAGTGGCTGCAGCTCCAGTACAGCATTTCATAAGCTTGAGGCCCAGTGTTCAATCACAGGTAGGATGTGGGAAAGGCATAGGAGAAAATAAATATATTCCAAGGGCTGGGGGTTGTGGTTCAGCATGTGAAATGTTCTGGGTTTTGCCACAAAAGGAAATAATCTAACTTTGCAAAATGTTATCATTTGGAGAACACTAGCTAAAAATACACAGAGGATACCTGTTTTCTTCCTTATGTTTCCTGTAAGCCCACGATTACCTGAAAAATGTTTCAATAAACAAAATAAAACTGAAAAAATAAGCAAACACTAAGTTCAAATATTCAAATATTTTTATAATGAAACATCATTGAAATGTACTTTAAATTATGTATATTTTTATATTGGTGAAATCATCCTTGGAATCTTGCTAATTTTGTTGACATGCATGGCTTTCCCATGTATGTCTTTTCTTTCCATCTGCAAATTATTTGCTATTTTCTTATTTAAAAATATTAAATTTTTGTAAGCAACACTGTGTGGCTGATGAACAAAACCGTCTGACACAATTTGAGCTTTCTATAGCAAGAAAGTCTAACCTATTCCAGTGTTCTCATCCCCATGAGACATCCCATTATAATAGGCTCAAACAATTAAAAAATATCTTATATTTACACTATTGCTACCCAAATACTTAATAAAATGTTTCTGACTTGAAGTACTTTCATTCAGAATTAATAGTACTAGACTTATTTTCTCATTGCATAAAACCAACACTATTGGGTTTAATGTAGCTCAAGCAATGCTTAGTCCAAGTAAACCGTGACCACATCTTTCTTGGAATATCCAAAATAGAAGAATCAATTAAATAATTTTTCTAATATAGTTTATTCTTGATTTAGACATAACATCTCAGAAAATATGATATATCCAGAAGGACTGAAATATTGAATGTATGCATGTTATGTTCATTTACTTAAACAGCAGGGGCACATACTTTTAATTCCAGCACTTGGGAGGTGCAGGCAAGAAGATCTTCTTTTGAGATCAGCAGTAGCCTAGTTTACATAGGAAGTTTCACAAGTTCTAGGCCAGCCAGGTCTGAGGCTACAAAGAGACACTTCTCAAACCTCTCCCCATAAAAAAGATAGAAAGATAAAAAGAAAAGGTGAGGCAATTTTTCTAAGATCATAAGGGGAGAAGAACATTTCTTTTTAAAAATATTGTATTTATTTTTGTTCATTTTATGTGTATGAGTGTAAATGCAAGTTAATTCAATACTCCTTGGAAACACTGTTTTCCTTTTCATTTCTTTAAAAGAAAAAGGCAGAAAAATAAATGTTAATTAACTCTGATGAGATCCCTTGGTGCTGTTTTGCTAAACTCTTCATGCAAACATGCCCTACAATCTGTGTAATATTTAATGTGCTGATGATATAAAATTATTTTTCTGAATATTTATTCAATAGTCATTGGAAACACTATTTTCTTTTTCATTTACTTAAAATATTTCTGTTTGGCTAATTAACTAGTAAATACTTGCATAAAACTATGAATATTTCCATCATGTCCTCAGCTTATCAATTTGTGTGTACCATATATTATGTATAATATGTATTGATATAGAAATACATATATACATCAATATCTAAGTTGGTCTGTGAAAAATATGTATCTGTAAGCTAAATGTTACCACATATTACATATGTAATTCAATATAATATGTTTATATAGTTGCTGTATAAAAATAATATGTTTTCAAACACCTGAGTATTTTCAGGCAGCAAACACAAACTGGCTAAGATCTACAGATGGACAGCAGAGGGCGCTCATTTCCTGCTACGTAGAGAAAGTCCACAGCACTCTACATTGTTCCAGAAAGGTGTGTGGCTTTGTCAGTTTACTTAGAAAAGACAGAGAAACATGATTTTCCATCAAAGAAATTAAGGAAAGGAAATCTAATTGGGTATTATTTTGGTGGAATCAAGTACTAAATATTAACTGTCATAACATTTAGTGAGTAGAGAAAAATGTTTAAAGGAAATCCATGTACATATTTAGTTATAGCATTTTGTGTCTCTCCATGTATTTATCTAGGCTTCATGAAAATTATAACCTAGATTTTAATGTTTTATCTCTATTTATATCTCTGTATATGCAAATTATTACTTGTGGATTACTGTAGACTATTTATTATTACTAATAAAGATATGTTTAATTGTGTAATACAGTGGGAAAAAATGTCTTGCTTCGAACTAATATATTTTTGTAATGTGTAAACGCATCAGTGTATATGAAAGGGAGAGAGGATTTGTGAATTACAAAGCATTTAAAAATATTTTATTGATTCTTTTTATTTTATGTGTATATTAGTGTATTGCTTGCATGTATGTGAGTGCATACTTGTCATGCAATGCTGCAGAGGTCACAAGAGAGCTTTGGATTCCTCTGGAACTGGAGTTAAGGATGATTCATAGCCACCATGTAGGTTCCGGAATCAAACCCAGGTCCTCTGCAAGAGCAGTCAGTGCTCTTAATTGCTGAGCCATCTCTCCCGCCCCTACAAAGCATTTTTTAAATAGATGATATTATAGGGCTTTCCTCGAAATGTAGTCAAAGATGATTAATAAAGGCCCCAATGAAAGTACTAACTTTAAAATAAATGATAAAAATGAAGTTAACTTAGTATGGAATTCAATTAGAATTCGTGCATTCTTGCTTTAAAGGACTTCCTTCAACTTATATTTTATCATTTATTTTGGTAATTTAAACAGTGCATATTATTGATTTGAAACCTTAGATCTTATAATCATACAAATCAACTCTGAGTCTGCTAGCATCAGAAATTGCCTTGCTATGATTGTAATAATTTTAACACTTCTAGGTAAGCTCCTTGAAGCCTGTTCTCTCTTCTACCATGTGGTTTCCAGGGATAGAACTTGTTTCACATGGGTTGGCAGCAAGCAATGTTTCCTGCTAAGCCATCTTGCAGGACCCTTATATTTAATTTATAGATGTTAAATTGAGTGAATTAATGCAAGAATATCTGAAGAAAATCACTGGTTGTATTTAATTGAATATTTCTTAAAGAATTAATTTTTAATTAAAATATTACTTATTAGATACAATTGCATGAGAAAGAGAAGCAAAATATGTATGAATTTGTGTGCAAAATTTTAGGTAGGTACTTTTTGTATATAATAAAATGAGCTTTCATTAATTTCTACTAACTTCTCAGGATAAATGTTCAGTGTATCAAATTAGTGCTTAATAAGTTCTGAATATATGAATTTGAGCTGCTTTTGTTAGACATCGTTTGTTTAGTCTCATTAGTTGTGATTTTTTCTCTGTTATTACTTTTATTTTATGTGTATGAGAGTATTACCTGCATGGACTTAAGCACACCCATGTTGTGCAATGTCCAGGGAGATCAGAAGATGACATCAGATTCCCTGGAAGTGTAGTTACTGACAGTTGTTAGTTAGTATGTGGGTGACATGCTAGGCAAATTTACAGGTGATTTTGGATGAGACATATGTATTTTATTAGAAAAAAAGAGAAATATTAAATATAAATATTTTCTTTAACAATTTTAGGTCTTTCAAATTCCATAATTTGCAAATCATATCTCTTCTATATTGTCTTTAGACATTTATGTTTCTAAATACCTTTTGTTATTACTTTTATGTGTTCTAATTTTTAAAACCTATCATTGAAGTTTATTGTATTTGAATTCTTTGTACAGTATCATTGACACAGTATGAACCTGAGTATAGCAGAAGTAATAATTGAATAAAATAGCAGTGTTTTGATTTCATGTCTTAATTCTTATTAATTTACTTTGCCTTTTTTCCTTCTACCTTGTAGTTTTGAGAAAGGTGGTTTTTCTCATAAAGGTTTTGATAATATTTTCTCATGCAAAATGATTGTCAATTCAAGTCATCAGCAGTCTCAGGAATCAATACAGATGGATACATGACAGATCCAGTTGCTAAAATCAGTATGGATTTTGAACAAAGTGTCAGCTGTGCCATAATCTATTTAGCCTCAGAATTGCATGTTTTCTGTTGTTCCTACCTTTTAGAAAAGAAGGTGTTGGACTGAATAAAAATTCACAAAAGTCATTTAATCAATAAAGACAAAAGTAATAAATGAAAGATAAATCTGTGTGAACAGAAGTAAACCAATTTCACTTTAGGATAGAAAAATGGCCTAAAAGGAAAGAAAAAGAAAAGAATAAAAGGTGTCCATTATAAATACAACAACTATGGTGGCTTCCTTGTTAAGCAGGGCATGTTAATCTGAGGACACGTAGAAACAGTGAATAGGCAGGAAGCACAGAAAACACAAGATGATGGAAACAGTGCCAATCTTAAGGTATCTACTTAGCTCTATGCTCTAATCACACTCTTCCCCAGATCCCATGTGTTTGAATAATACAATCATAGACTTGCAACTTTATACACATTTTCTTTTTCCTTTCGAATATCTCAATTAATAAGCCTATAGTCAGAGATTCTACCACTATTTCTAAATTATTACACGGCAACTCGACACATCAGTGTGTATCAAAATCATACTCTGGAGGGGTAGAGCTATGGTTCAGCAGTTAAAACACTTGCAGCTCTTGTGGAAGACCCTGGGTCAGTTCCCAGCACCCACAGGGCAGCTAATAACTGTCTATAACTCCAGTTCCAGGGGATCTGACACACTCTTCTGAAAAACTCATTCTCTGTTTGTCTGTGAGATCAGTTCTGTGACTAATTTTATAAAATGTCTTTAGGAGAAATATAAAATCTAAAGTAAAAGGAAGACCTTAAGTTTGGGCCTATCTCCAGGCAAGATGTCTTGTTTCTTAAAATTTTTTCCAGTTTTATTTTATTTTATTTTAACTTAAAAAGAACTTTATTGAGAATTTCATTCATGCAATAAAGGTGTTTCGATCAAATCCATGCCCACTCTCTCCCCTCCGACACCACCCATATTTCCCCATCACTTTTTTCTGACAACTTTCTGTATTTCTTTCTTTCTTTCTTTCTTTCTTTCTTTCTTTCTTTCTTCTTTCTTTAAATGGGGTTTTTTGGTCTTCTAACATTACTCCTCTGAAGAGGTAACCCTAAAATCTTTTAGAGATTACATAAGAGCTCCCAAATACTTATGTCATTTTTGGTCTTTGGAACAGAATATGTTGTTAAAATGCCCAAGGACATTTTGATTTTTAGCCAAGAAACTGGCTACTTTTCTTTGGGGTCTGTTTTACCCTAACTGCTTAGCGAATTCCTACCTCCTATTCTTCTTATATCATCCACTGAAAAGGTTACACAAATTGCTGATAGGGAATTGGGCGCAGACTGCTTTGGCTTCTTCCATGCTGAACAGGGACACAGGGTGAGGCAATGGGGGTACTTCTTCGGTGAGTTTATCTAAAAGACTACCAAATTGCAGAACTCTTATCTGTAGGGAGTGAATAGGGGATGTGAAGGCAAGAGTAGTCAACATTACAAGTTCTAGACTAAGAACCAGAAAAAAGTCAGAACAGGGCAAATTTCTAATGTTCATATCAGAGTCCACTGGGAGTTCTTGACGAGAGCTTCCAAAAGCATCTCTCTATTGGGTTCCTCCTCATTTTTCTTTTGTCTGCCAAGGCTGGACTT